GGTCTAAGTCTTACGATGCGTCAAGAGAAGACAAAGTGTGTGTTTTTGTATGTATGCCTGCGAAGAGCCTTATGTACTTGAGTGATGTGCCAGCGAGGAAGAGCACACTTTTCAGACTTTTGCTCTCTTCTCCTTTGCAATTTTCTGCGTTGTTTTCGGTTACCGCTGTCTCTTGTTTTGCAGGTGGGAAATGGTTGGTCTCTTAGACATAACAGCGCTGTGGAGCTGCTTTAAAGGGCAAGCTGTCCTACTTTGGGGGTCACATTCAGCTGACCCTGTTGTTGGGCATAGGCTGTGACACAGAAAGTGGGTCTTTGTGAATATTTCCCTTGCTGAGCTAGCTTCAGAGTACAGTATGGCATGGTCAGTAGTGGAGAAGCTCCTTTGCTTACTTAAGCTCTCCTGATGAGAGAGAGGAAGGAAGGAAGGAAGGAAATGAGAGAGAGAGCTCACCTCCTGGGCCTAGGATGGCGAAACAAGGCTAATATTGTCTTAGACTCTGTGAAAGGATTCTGTGGAACTGTAACAACCCTTCTTGTGGATTATTGGACTCTTTGAACAGACAGGTGGAATAGATACTTAGACGTGTATGGACCTTATTCATGAACTGACTAGAGAATGAACTGATCCACTGGGTCTTCTGCTTTTTTCGTTGAACTTTATGAGTATGAGACTTCCGTTGAAATCTACAACTTGATACAATGAATAGTATACCTTATTTATTCAAAAGTACAGCCGGTTACGTCTTGTGTGTTTATCAGAGTACAGTATGGCATGGTCAATAGTGGAGAAGGTTCTTTGCTTACTTAAGCTCTCCTGACGAGAGAGAGAAAGAAGGAGAGAGAATGAGAGAGAGAGAGAGAGAGAGAGAGATCACCTCCTGGGCCTAGGTGTCTAGAAACATCCCTCATCCTTCTACAGGTCTGTCTGCATCACAGGCTCAGAACTGCAGCTGTGTGAGAGAGGCCAGGGATCCCTAACAGAGAATTCTCAGCATCTTCACCAAAGTACAGTGGTAACTCAGGTTAAGTACTTAAATTGTTCCGGAGGTCCATTCTTAACCTGAAACTGTTCTTAACCTGAAGCACCACTTTAGCTAATGGGGCCTTCCGCTGCTGCCATGCTGCCGCGCGATTTCTGTTCTCATCCTGAAGCAAGGTTCTGAACCTGAAGCACTATTTCTGGGTTAGCAGAGTCTGTAACCTGAAGCGTATGTAACCCAAGGTACCACTCTATAGTTCCCAGAATTCTTGGGAGGGAAGCTGTGACTGTTAAGCTGGTGTCACGCCAAAGTATCTCCAATGCTTGACTGCTTGACTGAGGTCAGCTACTGAGATTGCAGGTCGGTTTGACAAGATGGGAGTCCTCAGGGACTCTTCCAACTCTACAATTCTATGGTTCTAAAAGCTACAGAGTATGCATGTATGAGTGCCAACACTCCCGTAAAAGACCAGACTGAACAATCTGTTCCCTTTTACTACCTGTGTGTGTTTCTGCTCTGCACACACAACTTCTCTCCATCGTTTTCCCCGAGAAGAGAAATGAGGTTGTTCACAGGTGAGGTGATGCTGCGGTTGCTAGGTAACCACAACGGGCTGCTTCTCCCTTCTCCAAGAAAGGGCAAAATGGCTAACTGAAACCTGAAGCGTAGGCGTAATCACCTTGCCCTTTCTCCCTTGGATCTTTGTCCCATCCATCCAACAGCTTCCCACAGCAGCCTTACGCTACCCAATCAATCAAAAACACAGTAAAAACATTGAAAACACACACCAGATACCCACAAAACATTCAGTTCTGATATATAAAGGAAGCTTGTGTGAAACCCTCAGAAGAACTGAAAGCCTAGAAAATGGTGCTGAAAAATGTCCTCAAACTAGCCACCAGAGAGAGCATCCTCCCTGGACAAAGCATTCCACTGTCAAGGTGCCACCACCAGGTAGCCCCTTCCCCCTGGGTACCGTATTTTTCGCCCTATAGGACGCACTTTTTCCCCTCCAAAAATGAAGGGGAAATGTGTGTGTGTCCTATGGGGCGAATGCAGGCTTTCGATGAAGCCTGGAGAGCTAGAGGGGTCGGTGTGCACCGACCCCTCTCGCTTTCCAGGCTTCGGGCAGCTCTCCGCAAGCCTTGGGAGCCTGGCGCGACTTCCCGCCAGGCTCCCAAGACTTGCGGAGAGCTGCCTGCATCCCGAAGCCTGGGGCGCACTGAGCAGCGTGCCCCGGGCTTTGGGCAGATATCCGCAAGCCTGGGGAGACCGGCGCGACTTCCCGCCGGGCTCCCTAGGCTTGCGGATAGCAGCCTGTTCTGGGGGCTGGGGTCGGGGGAAGCTCGGGCTTCCCCCACCCCAGCCCTGCGCCTGGGGGAAAAAAAATTTTCCCCCTTTATTCCCCCCCCCCAAAACCTAGGTGCGCCCTATGGGCCGGTGCGCCCTATGGGGCGAAAAATATGGTAACTGCCTGCCGCATCTCAGTTAACTGGGAAATGAAGATCTCTGTGGAGCCAGTGAGTCCTTCAGATCTGCTGCTCTCAAGCCATGAAGACATTTAAAGCAATACCTGATCTATTTGGCTGAGAACACAACCAGCAAAGTGGAAGTTGCATCTGTGGGAATGTTCTGGGGTGCAGAAGAGGATATATTGTGGGATTATATCCTTATCCAACTTGTGCTAACAAGTTCCCAAAATATCAGCAGAGTTTATAAACATTCCCCTTTAAGTTCGCAACGGTAACGTGTGCACAGGTTTGCTAGAACCTCTATAATAATTACTCTGGTAATTTCCCTTTTGTTCCCTCTTAAAATACAAGACACAACACAGTATTTATAAAAGTATAAAAGAGTTTACTCACGTTCTGTTCACAATATAATACAAGAAGGCAGACATCTTAAAAGGTTACATACATTCAGAATCTATCTTGTAGCAAGATAGTCCTTATCTCCTCTCTTGGCTGGGAGCCAAGAGGGCATCCTTAGATGTTTCCTCATCGAAGGAAAATGGCAGAGAGAGAGAGTGGCTGCCTGCCCTGTGCTTTTGTCATTACCTGCACAGGTGAGGCCACACCCACCTCTGGTCACATGCGGAGGAAGTCCGTCCCCAGGAAGTTTACCTGCTTGCTGGACAGACATCCCTCCCCATGTTCTAACATGTACACTCTAGGAATGTTGTCATTGACTGCTCCTGTGTTTACATCCCACAGCATCCACTGAGCACTTTGCTTCTTTTCAGCATTTATATGCCCACAAAGTCTTTAATGGGTGCGAAATGGAAGAACTTCCCACAATCCACTCAAATCAATGGGCTTAAGCAATATTTCGCTCTGTATTGGTTTGTGAACCCAAGTATGACTGCGTATCTATCTAACTGGAATTAGCACGACCCTTCTTTGGGAAAGTGCTTGAGAGGGTGGTGGCTGTTCAGTTCTGGGTGGAAACTGATAATCTGGAGTCATTCCAGTTTGAGTTCAGCCCTGGTTTCAGGACCAAATCAGCTCTGGTCACTCCTGAACTTTGTCAACCCAGTAGTCAATCACACCATTCAAAGTTGGAGCCAACTCTTTTATTACAAAAAGTGTGATATTGACAGACCTAGCGGAGTGTCATGCCTAAGCTCATCTCCAGTAGGTCTTGCCGCCATGAAACAGTTGCTGAGACTGATGGTCCCCATCTCTCCACGGCTGCCTAAGTTCCCTCTTCTCCAGATTTAATTCCCAACCAGAGACTGTGTCTGCATGAAGCCAACCTTCTGCCCTTTTCATGCCTCCCGTAAACTGTACGCCAGCTCCTTCAGCCAGTAAAGTGAGAGGAGCGGTGCAACCCCAGAGTCGTCCACGACTGGACCTAATGGTTAGGGGTCCCTTTACCTAAGCTTGGTGGCATGGAAAAGTTTTCAGCAGACATTTGGATGAGCATTTAACAGGGCTGGGTTGATGACACTAAAAACTTCAGATTCCTGTTGCTGCCGGAAGAGCCTCACCAGTGACCAATGATGCTCCTGCAAATAGTTCACCAATGGCATACAAGCTCACAAATGACAGGAATAGCACAGCCATGCTGGGTGAAGATGGGCTCACATGCTGTGCTGTTGTGATGGCCTGGGAATCGGGTTCGGAAGCTGAACCTGAGGAATCCCAGCCTGCACAGGATTCCCCGCCTCCAGAACCAGCTGAGCCGGGGCTGGGGCATGAACCTGAAGGGTCCTCACCTGTGCTGGATCATCAGGTGCAGGCATCAGCTGAGTCTGCTCTGGCTCCTGAGGGCATGGAGGACCCATTGCCTGCAGGTGCTCCACTCTCAGCCCCGTCAGAGGAAGCCGAGGTTGCCTCTGGGTCTGGTAACCCTCCAGCCTCTCCTGAGCTGCAGAGGCTCAGAGAACTAAGTTCACGCAGGAGGAGTGCTTGCCTCCAGGCCAGGCAAGGCGAGTCACCTGAGGATCGGGGCCGCCCTATGCCTCGGGGGAGATAAAAGCCAGCCAGCCCCAGTCCCAAGTTGCGGGAGCAACATGGTTGGTTGTCAGTTCCAGCCTGATCCCTGACCTGCTTCCCTGCCAGAGCTCTTGACCTCACCCGATGCCCTGCCCTGCACCCAGCTTTGACTTCTATGGACTGCCTTCATATTGCACCATCAACTTCGGACTGGACTCGGACCTCGCCTCTTGGTTAGCCCCGGGACCAGCACAGCTATTAGCACTGCAATTGGGGCAGTGTGTCAGTGTGCAAAAGTGGTCAATTTAGGTGTCATCGTGAAAAATGGAAAGACCCATCGTTTTATGCAAAAGTCTTTATTTAACAATGCCTTCCATAAGTCGAAAAAAATACTTCAGCTTTTGGTTACTGGTTTCATACAGAGCAGCATTACACAAGATGTGGTACTGACAGATCCCTTGTGACCCCCCCCCCCCATGCCATATAGTCCGCCCGAAAGTCTCTCCCAGGTATGTATTACAGTACTTGCATCACTGTCAATACAACAGCCTCCCTTGTCTTCGTGGTGGCCCATTTTCTTTCTACGTGGTGGTGGGCATGTCATTCTCTGTTGCAGCAGGAGTGGCTGGGTCAGGTTCTGGGGCATACTGGTATTTGTTCACAAAATGGCCCACGAGACGCTGCGTGGTTGCTGCCACTTCTTTCTCATAGGCGTTTATTACACTTTGGCCAGTTTTGCTCTGGAGAAGAAAGGGGGTAGATTTTATTTAGTTGCCATTTTTGAAGTTAAAGACTGCAAGCAGCTACTTTAGATATTACAAGATTATGGCAAGGAGCCTGGAACCGCCAGTGCCTCATGCTCAGTGTCCCCCTGCGTGGGGTGGTTGCATCTGAAAATGGGGACTTCTGACACGCTGCCCAGAGCAATGTGCACACAATTGCTATGGAAGGGGCACCTTGCACACCTTTGGGGGGTGATAAGGAACTCCCCTGCAAAATGTTGCCACCTGTTACTTCGCACCAGTTGTTCCAGTGGCAAGATTTTCTTCAACCCTTTCCTACTTGAGTTAGGGTCAGAACTCTTTACCGCTGAATCAGAGCCAATGGCAATCTGCTGAAGACCTGAATTGCTGTTTGCCGCACCTCAGAAGAAGAAGAAGAAGAAGAGTTTGGATTTGATATCCCGCTTTATCACTACCCGAAGGAGTCTCAAAGCGGCTAACATTCTCCTTTCCCTTCCTCCCCCACAACAAACACTCTGTGAGGTGAGTGGGGCTGAGAGACTTCAGAGAAGTGTGACTAGCCCAAGGTCACCCAGCAGCTGCATGTGGAGGAGCGGGGAAGCGAACCCGGTTCCCCAGATTACAAATCTACCGCTCTTAACCACTACACCACACTGGCTCTCCAGCCTTAAGAAGCGGTGTTTTCCTCAGGGAAAACTCGAGTTAAAAAAGGAGCATTCGGAAAACATGGGCCTTTGTCTGGAAGGCACAGAGAAAAAAAGGTAAGTATGGACAAGCCCTTAGACACAGAGATGCCAAGATTTACATGAACCAGTGGACAGGCAAAATTCATTTTGGTGCAAATTTCCAAAGCCCACAGATATCCGTGTCTTTACTTACAAGAAAGATCCTGACCCGCTCCATCTCTAGTTCGTAGTATTCTTCAACTGTCAGGTCGTCAAAACTCTTCGAAAGGGACAAAAACCCACAAGAGTCTCCGGCACGCTTGGAGTGCTCCAGCCTGCAGTGGGAACAGTAAGATGGCAAGCGAGCAGCTTAAGAGGACCAAGAGAGATTGACCAGTAAACTCAGAGGAAACTCAAAGCAAAAATTTGTGGGAAAATGGGATGGCTATAGAAGATATGTTCAAAAATACAATAATAGTTTTGACTCCGTGCTAGCATTCAAGTGATAAAGGAACTAAAAGGAGGTGGATAACAATTAAGGATTTATTATGTTTTCATAATGTATTAGAAAAATTATATAGAAAGGTTTATTGTTTTGTGTACATTCAAATGTAAGATAAAATATATGCAAAGGGACTTGACAAGAAGTCAAAGTTGAAGAAAAGATTTTGGAAGATAAAAGGGGGGGAAATATTTACTTTCATTATCATCATTTTGTGTGCGGGTGTCTGCACAAATGTGTGTTGTAAGCAATGTTTGGGAGGAAATAAGACGGTAAATAACAAATAAACTAAATATTGATGTATGTAATTTTTATTTCTTAATTATATTTAGTGGTAGTATGGCTGTATTGTTTTTTGTAACATAAAATCATTCAATAAAAATTATTAATAAAAAAAAAGAGTACCAAGAGAGATTAAAGGAATTTTGTCCTCCTCCCTCCCCAACTTCAACAACTTTCTTCATACCACTTTCACTTCAATAAGATCTGTAACAATTTAAATTTGCGCTTTTCTAGCTAACCTGCATTAGCCAAGGTGAACAAAGAGAGTGTAACCCAAATAGAAAGGCAGTCTTATCCACTGATCCCCACTTGGTATTTCATAGAGTTTTCACCTTGGGCAATTGCTAGGCCAGAGAACCCCGCTGGGTCTTTCTTACCAGGGATCGTGATCTGGCTCCCAGCCCTCCAACTCTATTAAGCAGAAGAAACACTTTGTCAGGTCAGGTTCATTTGCTCCTGGACAGTGGATCAAGCCAGCCCTGGCCATCTGAATGAGAAGAGAAGAACAATATGCTGAAGACACTGGCAAGGAAGCTATATTGCGCAATGTGGGGTGATTCTTGCCATCCTGACACTTTGGACTCGGACAGCTTAGAATATTTTCTTCCCCATGCTGAACGTTAACAAGTATAAATCATGTAATCATAGAATTGCAGAGCTGGAAGGGAGTCACCTAGTCCAACCCTCTGCAAAGCAGGAATTTTTTTTTGTCCGGTGTGGGACTCAAACCCATGACACTGAGATTAAGTGCCTTGTGCTCCGCCGACTGAGCTACCCAAGTTTAAGTAAGATAGAGTTGCAATTCTGCAAATCCTGTTTTTGCATGCATCTGAAGAAAATGAGGTGCTCCCTGCTGCCGTATTTTAAAGGCTTGGTAGCAGGTCTTATATTAAAGTTATGCTCCTCTCGCGAGTTGTGCCCCAAGTACCTCCTGCTTAGCTTGATCACAGCAACTTGTCCAGTTTCTGCTATCCCAAGATCCAAGCTCTTCAACTTTACATCCGGCAGACCTATTTTAACATGCAAGGTAAAGTTCTCTAAAGGTTTTGCTCTGCTGGTTCCTTGCAAGATTTATCTACCTTACGAGAGAGTTGTGTGCTTCTTTAATTTTGCACATTCGGTAGCATTTGTTTGCTCTTTACCAGAACCCCAAGGCATAGCTGTCAACTTTCAGATTTGAAAATAAGGGATCAGCAGCCTCACCTGTCCCAGGGACAGTCTACAGGATATCTAACAATCCGGGATAGCAGCAGGAAGCAGCGGGAAAGGGCACTGGAATAAGGGAATTTCCCGTAAAAAAAGGGAAGGTTGACAGCTATGCCCCAAGGTTCTCATTTCCCCAACCTTAAGTATAGTCCTGCACATTTCCACATCCATTTGCTATTAAAAAAACCCCACACATTCTCGTGAAAATGTATCAGTATTAGAGAGTGAATTTCCCCTAATAGACACATTATTGTTTGCAGTCTTACCCAACATACACATTTCTGCAAAGCAATTTCCCCTAATACAGAGCCTCTTCATATTATACTTTCAACAATATAGGTATTTTTGAAGTACACACTTTTCTCCAGCATATTCATTACTTGGCTGAAGACCTCATAAAATTCAGAGAACTGCGAATTTCAAAGGATGACTTGTTTTGATTTACATATTGTTTTAGAAAGTCAAATTAGGTAGATTCACTTTTAAATGCAAATTGAATCACATTTTGCCCTCCTTCTCTGCTTAGCCAAGGTACCAGAGCCAAGAGTGCAAGTCCTTTCACATAAAAATCCCCTCTTGGTCTCCTCTCCACCCCTCCCCACACCCTGGGATCCTTTTAGGGAAAGAGGGAAGCTTTTTTAGTCTTTATGGTTAGACATCCGGGAGGCAGAAGTCCTTGCTAATCTACCTGAAGTCACTCAGATCCAACAGCAGATCCCCGTTTATCTTCTGCCCACTCCTGACCTATAGGGTTTGTAATAGCTAGAAAATAAAACCTCTAGGATTTGTAATAGCTACAAGGTAAAACCACAGTATGATGCAGGATTTTGGGGTAGGCAGGCAAGCAACAGAGTGTAGCTTAAATCCTTTATCTGCAAGGATACTGTCAAAAGAGACAAGCAAAAATGCTGTTGAGATGAGATAAATTCTCTTTGGGAATTTAAGGAGTTTTGCTCACTTAAAAAAAAACCCTGGACCTTCTTCAAGATAGTCTCCATCCCAAAACCACTGAAAGACAGCCTCAAAGTAGAATCATACCACCCAATCTCATGAATAAACCAAGACGTCAATCTTGGCCAACCGCCTAAAAATTTTCCTACACAAGTTGAAAGCCTCAGACCAGACTGGCTTCATCCCTGGTTGCAATATAACAGACCCCATTACTGAATCTGATTCAACACAGCAAGGCAACTAAACTCCCACTGACAATCAAGTCCCTAGACATCCTCAAAGCTTTTGATTGCTTAGAGTGGTAATACCTATTAGCAGTGCTAACTAAGATGAAATTTGGTCCTAACTTGTTACAAACCCTCAAACAAATATACTCCCGAGCCTCAGCAAAATGCAGGACTAACAGTATGGACGCCAATACCATAGCAATCCAAAGAGGCACAAAACAAGGATGCCTGCTATCTCCCTTCTTATTCATCCTGGCTCTGGAACCCTTAGCAATCCAAATCCGAGCAGCCACAGACATCAAGGGAGTGGAAATAAAAGGCAGAACCTATAAATTAGGGCTCTTGGCAGACGACTTAATGGTCACAACACCAGACCCCCATAAACACAGCAACTTCCCTAATCAGAGAACTCAACACATTTGCAATGGTGTCGGGCCTACAGGTAGATTTTGCAAAGTCCGGGGCTATGTGTTTCAACACCCTGCCCCCCTACCCAAAAATAATTTGCCAAGATAAAACTTTGTTGCACCAAGTTCAGATACCAAGGGGTACAAATAACCAGAAACCTCAGCAAATTATACCTTCACAACTACAACCCCTTGTGATGACAGATCAACAAAGACCTGAAGAGATGGAACAACACCAACTTCACTCTCTCAGGCAAAATAGCCATGATCAAGATGATCACCCTCCCAAAATTAACCTACCTATTCCAAACCCTCCCAATCAGGATTCCCCCAGCCCAACTTCGCAAATGGCAGAAAAAAATACACTCATTTATCTTCTCACAAAAAAGAAAGAAAGAATAAGCCCCAAATACCCGCAACTCCCCTCCCCAACTCAATAGCACTTATGCATACCTGACCTACAAAAGCTGGTTTTCTTATTTGTTTGATTAAGTAGACCTACGCTTTCAGGAGTACACTTGCAGTTCTCTTTAAAAGGCCAGCATGCAAAGCTTCTCAAGCGATTCTCATAGTAATGCATGCTTCTATATTCAAGCAGGCACTTGGAGTTTGAGTTGACTTTGTTCAGCACAGTCTCCATTTCTGTGGCTCCTTAGCAGTGTTCCCCTGTCACGACTTACCTCTTTATATATAAGGCACTGCATTAAGCTGACTTGATTGGTCTCCCCTGTGAACATCAATGTAAATGAGCAAAGGGGAACCCCACCCAAAGCAATCTGCAGTTGTCGAAAAAGGAAAGCTGTGGCAAAAATTTTTAAAGAGATAGCCCAGCAGCCAAGCCCTGTTTGGTTTGTTCTGTTCAAATACTTTATTTAAAATATTTTTACTCTGCTTTACAGCCAAAACAAAAGGCCCCTAGAGTGACTTAGCATGATCAATAATAAGCTTATGCTTACAATAACACGCACACACAACACAAAAGGAAAAATGGCTTGCTGGGAGAAGGAAAAAAAACCCTCAGGCACTAATTTTCAATTACAAGGTTTCTGTAAGTTTTCTTTCTGGTACGAAGGGGTAAAGCCAGCTCACTACAAACTGTCCTTTCTTTGGCTGATTAGTCCAACCATTGAAGGCAGCCCTGTTTAGGGAAGTTTTTAATGTTCAATGTTTTATCGTGTTTTTAATATTCTGCCGGGAGTCGTCCAAACAGGCACTTGGAGTTTGAGTTGCTCTCGCCCAGGGAAGTCTCTATTTAAGAATCCAATTCTGTGACTTCTTAGCAACCTTTCCCTGACATGACTTTTATTTAAAACCATATAGATATGATTCTATTCTGTGAACCGCTCTGAGACTCCCAGGTATAGGGCGGTATATGAATTTAATCAATCAATCAATCAATAAAATAAAATAAAGATAAACATGAGTGCATTGGGATAGGGGGTAGCAAAGGTGATGATAGACCTTGTCTCCTAATTTTCGTTACTTGCACAATCTTCTATCTAGCTCAGCTAGTAGAGAATGAGGCTCTTAATCTCAGGGTTGCAGGTTTGAGCCCCACGTTGGGCAAAAGATTTCTTCATTGCAGGGGGCTGAACTAGATGACCTTTGTGGTCCCTTCCAACTACACAATTCAACGATTCCTGGTCAAGTTCCTACATACATTGTTCTTGTTATGAAGATTCAGGAGCGTTAGGTTGTCCTGTGGTTCTGAAAAGAAATTGTTAACTGGGATTTTATTGAGTTGTGTTTGAGAATTGCTTATTAAAGGTGCACCTTCCCTTTAGCCATTCATTTGCTTCCCCCTGGTGTTGAAATGTATGTATTGCTCTATAGCAGCCTTCCAGGATGAGGATCCTGCAGGTCTTGCTGAATTCCAGCTCTTCCCATTCCTGAATTTTGGCCATGCTGCCTGGGACTGAAGGGTGCAGAAGTCTTAACAGCATTTGGAGGGCAGCAGGTACCCCACCCCCATTCATGCAACTGCGAATAATAATACAAAAAGGACAAATACGACCACAATGTATGACTTCTTAGCAAATTCTAGTTACAGGTAGGTAGCCGCGTTGGTCTGCCATAGTCGAAACAAAATAAAAAAACTCCTTCCAGTAGCACCTTAGAGACCAACTAAGTTTGTGATTGATGTGAGCTTTCATGTATCTGAAGCAGTGTGCGTGCACACAAAAGCTCATACCAATAACAAACTTTTGTTGTTGTTTAGTCGCTTAGTCGTTTAGTCGTGTCCGACTCTTCGTGACCCCATGGACCAGAGCACGCCAGGCACTCCTGTCTTCCACTGCCTCCCGCAGTTTGGTCAAACTCATGCTGGTAGCTTCGAGAACACTATCCAACCATCTCGTCCTCTGTCGTCCCCTTCTCCTTGTGCCCTCACTCTTTCCCAACATCAGGGTCTTTTCCAGGGAGTCTTCTCTTCTCATGAGGTGGCCAAAGTATTGGAGTCTCAGCTTCAGGATCTGTCCTTCCAGTGAGCACTCAGGGCTGATTTCCTTAAGAATGGAGAGGTTTGATCTTCTTGCAGTCCATGGGACTCTCAAGAGTCTCCTCCAGCACCAGAATTCAAAAGCATCAATTCTTCGGTGATCAGCCTTCTTTATGGTCCATCTCTCACTTCCATACATCACTACTGGGAAAACCACAGCTTTAACTATACAGAGCTTTGTCTCTAAGGTGCTACTGGAAGGAATTATTATTTTTTTTTTAAGCAAATTGGAATAGTTAGGTAGCCAAAGACAAATGTAGAGATTCTTATTTTTTAGGAAGTTCTTCTTCTTTTTTAAAAAAATATTTTTATTGAACAATTTCAACATAACAAATTATGAGTTAGGAAGTTCTTCAAATAGATTGCTCCTGTTCTATTCCTGTCTCGGCTCCTCGGCCAGGAAACACACCCCATTGTTTATTCTATTTGCTATATCTTTCGTTGCCACATGAAGCATATGATAAGAGAGAAAATGACCAGGCCACGGTCGAATGGGGGGGGGGACCCTTACAATGGACCTCCCTCCCCCCCAAAAAAACCCCCTCACCACCCTGCTACTTACTTTCTTTGGTGGAACTTTCCACCAAGCTCCCAGACAGGGGGGAACAGCGGATTGTAGCACTTTTGTATGTGGTTTTTTAATAAATATTTTTTATTACATTTTACATAACAAATTTAATTTCAACATATCTTTTTTAAAAAATAATCTTTATTGGTTTCCCACATAAACATATACATAGATAACAAGTCATACAAAACAAAAGCAATAAAAGTAAAGGGAAAAAGGAAAAGAAAATACAATATATCACAATTAAATAACAAATTAAAATGTAAAAGTTCCAATCATGCTCATTATACTGCTTATATTGTCTATGTTTTCTTGCACAGGTTTATATTATTTCTTTTTTAAAAAAATAATATTTATTGAGGATTTTAAAATTACAAAGAAACAAAGAAAAAAGTAGACAAAAAGAGAAATTAAACAATACCAATCAATAAAAACAAAAATCAAAGAGAAAAACAAATCACACAAATGCATCAAAATCAAAAAGCAAAAATAAACAAAAAAATTAAAAACAAATCCAATATTCCCAAATCTTTATCTTTCATTAACTTGTTTCATGGACCTCCTCACACCTCCCGTTTTTGTATTCTAGTTATTGATTATCACAGCAAATCCTTCCCATTTTTCATAATATTCTGTCATTAAATTACCTTAATCTATTTTAACCTTATCTTACTATAAAAAACCCTAAAACTTAAAGCTTGAGTCTTATCTATACCAATTTCTCATAACCATGACATATTCTTGCATAGTTCTTTTTAACATTTCTGCTAAAGCAAAATAAATTCATAACAACATCATTATTTATACTCATTAATTTTAGAAAACATTCCTAAATAGAATTTTTGAAACTTTCTCCAATCTTCATCCAACGTCTCTTCCTCCTGGTCACGGGTTTTGTCAGTCCTTTCTATCCCATCCATCTAGTTCATTAACCTGGTAACCTTATGTCCGAGGCCCTTAAGTCTCTTCCATGTCCCTTCCGCAGATCTTCTTCATATTTATACCTGTACTTTACTTTGTCTTCTGCACCTTTCACACGTGGAGACTCCAGCTTGACAGTATTTTTATCCCTTCTCGACAGATCAGCCCCTTTTCCATAGTCCACACTGAACTCCATGTGGTATTTAAAAACATTTTTCAAAATCCCTCCAAAATTGAGGACCCCCACAACTCCAAACTCCTCCCGACCCAACGCCAGACTTGAAAAGTCAAAACATCCCTGCATAGGGGGGTCTATCCAGCCCCCCATCTCCAAACCAAACAAAACTCTATCTCTCCAAGTCTGGCTTTTTCCAAGTTCATTTGTCAAATCCAACAACTCATGTTCCTGCTGGGCCACAGCTCCCTCCATCTCTGCCACCCGAGGTCCAACAACAATCTCCTCCTTCATCTGATCTGTCAGAGCACATTCCTGATTTGATTCCTGAGTGGGTTCTATATAGGTACCCACTACCTGTCCAAAATTTCTGATCGCAACAATCATCAAGTCCGTCTTCTCATGTAACTGTTCCAATAGAGCACTTGTTTTACAGAAAGCACGCACCAGAGCCTCTGAGCACATTGTTATACAAGGTCAGAAGTCTATTCCCACGGTCTTAATCTGTTGCAGCTGCTCCCCAGTTCAAGTTTAATAACAGTTTCTCAAGCTCCCTCTAGGGGAAGAACTTCTCTTTGTATCCAACTCTTTTCTTTTTTTTTAACAGCAGATCTAACAACAAAGTTTCCTTTTTCAGATATTTTGTCAATATTTGTTCCTTTAAATTGCGAAAGAGCACAATGGAATCACTATGTTTCTCTTCTTTTAACTATCTGTCAAAAACCTTTGTCTATAGTCAATGAACTTTCCCAAAAACGTCTGTCCTGACACCCCGCTCCCAGGTTCAAGACGGTGGAAAATTACTTTTCTTACACTCTCTTCTGCAGGTTTAAGCAATCCAGAAAAAATCCCCCTCTTCTCCTGCTTCCGAAGGGGTTCAGTAATTTTAGATGATGAAAGTTGATCCTTTACAAACGATTTTCTACACTCTAGTTTGCCATGTCTTTGCTTTAATCTATCTACAAGAAACGGAAGGCTGACTTCCTGTTTAGACGTTCCCGCTTCAGTGCCAAATTAAAAGGAATTTCTTAATCCAATTTTCTGTTCTACTCACAGATCGTTGTTTAAAGTCCAATTGTCCAAATTTGATCTGCTCACGGGTAGTTGTTTTATAGCCAAATTGTCCCAGGAAAAAGGTAGCGCTCTCCGGCAACGGCTGTGCGGCTTCGCTCCACGGAAGAAGCAGTTGACTCTCAGCACCGCGCCACTAACCCCTCTTCGCTCCGGAGCCCGTAATTGGGTTCCTTTACGAATTGGGGGGGGCACAAAAGGTGCCTGCCGAGTCCCATGGTCACAGGCTTCATCTGCCTGTGATTTTTTAAAGGGTCCCCGCTTTGCCGTAGCGGAACAGACCTGTTTCCCGTGGAGCCAGTCCCTCCAGATCAGAGGGAATCCGCCATTACCGATGGCGCCACCCCGGAAGTCTATTATTTCATATTATTTTTATATAATCCAATACGATATCTAATACGCTTTTTGCTTACAAGTATCAATCTTGTTCTGCAAGTATATTGTTGTTTGTACAATACAATTTTAGATACTCTTTAAATATTTTCCATTCTCCATATACTTTCTGGTTTGACACTCCTCTGACTCTTCCTGTCCGTTTTGCTAGTTGCAGGTACTCTATCATAAGAGTCTTCCACTCTGTTATCGTTGGTAGTGTTTCATTTTTCCAGTTCCTTGCCACTATTATTCTAGCTGCCGTGATTGCATACATGAACAATGGTCTTATACTTAAAAAAAATTCTATTGGTTGTTGTTGATGTTTAGTCATTTAGTCATGTCTGACTCTTTGTGACCCCATGGACCAGAGCACGCCAGGCACTCCTGTCTTCCACTGCCTCCCGCAGTTTCGTCAAACTCATGTTGGTGGCTTCGAGAACACTGTCCAACCATCTCGTCCTCTGTCGTCCCCTTCTCCTTGTGCCCTCCATCTTTCCCAACATCAGGGTGTTTTCCAGGGTGTCTTCTTTTCTCATGAGGTGGCCAAAGTATTGGAGTCTCAGATTCAGAATTTGTCTTTAGTATACCTAATAAGAAGATCTCTGGTCTTTTTTAAAATTTAAATTTAAATAGTTTTCTGAGTTCACAGTAAATGTTGTTCCAAAATTCAAGGATAACTACACAGTTCCACCACATATGAAAATATGACCCTATGTCCTTTTTGCATCTCCAGCATGTTGGTGACCTGCCTTTATACATTTTAGTAAGTTTTAAAGGGGTATGTTGCCATCTGTATAGCATCTTCATAGTGTTTTCCCTGAGGTTGTAGCAGGCTAATTTGAAGATATCAATCACCTTTACATGGAGGCACTTTTGAAAGGGAGCTGAGCTCAGCTTCCATCCATAGTGGCTGCCAGCCACCGTAAGTTACCCAAAACAAGAGGGCCTTGCCCATAGATCT